ATTTGAATACTTTGCGAACTATATTCAGAAGCATGATTGATCCAGAATGCCTAAAACATATTGGGTAACTTGTATAAGGCTCCCCGAAAATGTGACGGCAAGCTGTTATTTTTCAAACATATTAGAAAAGGACTTAATGGAAAAGCACCTGTTAGATCTGAGGTATATGTTGTATGTGTCGCCAGTAAATATATATTGGAACGTTCGCTCCAGTTAACATAGGTTTTAAAGATAGATGTATAAAAAACTTCATAAAAATTAGGAATCAAAAACAGATCAAACACTTAAGAAACAACTTATTTTCCCACTGAACACAACTTTATTAACATTAAGGTTACCTAAACATCACATCATAGCAAATGGTCGGGTAAAAACAAATTTGAGTAAACATTTAGGAAACATTCTTTCCAGGTTTGAACTTTATCACGACTACATTCAACACGTGACAAACTGTAAAGGTTTAACGAATTCTATAAAGTCGTCATTCAAATTTAGGGCGGTGGGGTGGCCTTGTGGTTAAAGCGTTCGCTCGTCACGCTGAAGACCCGGGTTCGATTCCCCACATGGGTGCAATGTGTGAAGCCCATTTCTTGTGTCCCCCGCCGTGATATTGCTGGAATATTGCTAAAAGCGGCGTAAAATCAAACTCACTCACTCACTCATTCAGAATTTACATACTGAAGTTTGAGGGGCATATATTTAGTCACAAAAATGTACATAAAACTTTTGAACCGCCCCTAACCACGGAGGCATCATTAAAGCGAGTCACGATCCGTGTTAAAGACGCGAGAGGGTTCCATCATCTCCTATGGTTCAGTCACGTTTTCTTATATTCTTTCAACTTTTGATTTAGCTGTTCGTCGCTGGGGACGACAGTTTTGATAATTTACGAGACCACTTAAAGCCCCATTCATTTGATTTTGGTGAGACGGTATTATAGGCGCATGTGTATCTGACATGAGGAAAATGGAAAAAAAACGAGCATGCTGACTTCGATTATCCTGTGACTTAGTATTTAGGGAAGAAGTATTTGGAGGGGAGGTGAAACGATGTTTAATACCGAGTTGACCACTGTATATGCGCGGGCGGGCGCGCGAGACTAATGCTAGTTTAATGGTGCGTTAAAAGTTCTTGAACTTATAATGCGTGAGTGAGTGAGTTTAGTTTTACGCCGCACTCAGAAATATTCCAGCTATATGGCGGTGGTCTGTAAATAATCGAGTGGTGGACCAGACAATCCAGTGATCAACAGCACGAGCATCGATCTGCGCAACTGGGAGCCGATGACATGTGTCAACCAAGTCAGCGAGCCTGACCACCCGATCCAGTTGCTTCTTACGACAAGCAAGGGTTGCTGAAGATCAATATTCTAACGGGGACCTTCACGGGTTTGAACTTATAAAGAGATGGGAATGCACACGCCTTTAACCACCCAGACACTGTATACTGAGTCCGACCCGAATGTTTGCAGTATCCCCCTTCAGTTTGAGTGACAATTAAACAGTAACAACTTTTAACGTCTTTGGTTAGGACGTGAACCTGACCGACCCATTGACCTTCCGCTCCCAGAGCAGAGAATCTTAACACTTGGTCATAGAGGCAGCTGTACACTGCTATTTTCTTTCTTTTTTTTCTGGTGGAGTAAATGGATGTCAAGGACAACCTGTAAAACAAAGACAAGAAAGGGCAGTGTTCTAGGATGAGGAGGGACGGCCTGACGTGGCTTGTGGACATGGTATGGTGCTGACATTTGAACAACCATAGGATACTTGCATAGCTAAGGGAGATAACTCTTCCCAGTGTGTTTGATTTCTCTGGAAGTTAGAGGGTCAAATCCACAACCAACCACAAAGATCAAGCCATGAGTGAATTGCCTTGAAAATATGGCTATTTCTTCCAATTGTATAAACTGAGTACAAATAAAACACAAACTGTTGTTTCATATAATTTTATTAAAAAATGTTTGAATTTATTAAAATACATTTACATGTGACAAACATTTTGCCCCAAAACATACAGGTACATGTTCCTTCAAGAATCATTTTGATTAATACAAATCTGAATGTCTAAAAATATCTTTTACTCTCAGTATGAACTTTACAAGATAATAATGCTTATGAACCTCCGAGACAATGGGTACCGAAGCTCACCTTCATAGTTAAGCACAAATGATTTTCTACAGTCTGTATTGCATGTATGGATGGCATCTTATTCAGTGAGTAGTGACATCTTCAAATACAGAAACATTTCTTAATTACTACTTGGGTTAACAGACCTGTGAATAAAAAATTTAACTAACAGGAAGTGAAAAAAAAAAAAGAAATTTAATAAAAAATAATAGAAATGGTGTTTGCATAACATGCAGTAACAGAAGCCAAATCATTCTACATTTTCCTGTATACACTAATGATGTATCAATACATCAACAATCAGATAGTTATAGCATACATGGATCGTAATGTTAACAACACGCATACCTGTTTGACATCAGTTTTACGTAAATCAAAATTATTTCTTTTCAAAACATGTAAATATAATGTCAAGCATTGCATAAGGGTTATATTTTACTTACTAACAGTTATATGTATGTCCCATTCAGCTACAATACTGACAGTTCAGGAAACCATGTGTTTAATATGTTACAACACTGAAACAGAAAGTCCTGTCCCAACTAATGTCAAACCTATGTTAATGACATCACTTATGGTTTGGGGAAACACGTCCTCTGCAAGACATCTTCAAAACAGAATAACCAGCTGCCTAATATTGTCCGAACATTTGTTCAGCCTTTCACCTTGAGGATGGCTTGACCTGTGACATGACATAGCTATGACATCCCTGGGGTGTCAGCTTTGTTTAAAAAACAGAAACTAGCAGCAGGGATCGAATTCAGAAAAAAATCTTCAAGCATCCAAAAGCCCAGAGGTTTTCTTTGTTTTCAAAACTCACTTGTGAATTTATCGTATTTGAAGAGATGTAAAACTGTAGTAATTAATACATGTCTAAGATTTGCTTGGAAGTTTCAGGGTCTATAAGAGAAACCAAATCCCCGCCAGCACCTGTAACTTACAATAAAGAAAGGGCATATAAACCAATGTACACACATTTAGCACAATCATGTACACACACAATGGTATTTTCAAAATATGAACAATTACATGTATTGTTAGTAATTGTTAGTAAACTTACCTCTGGATTATGGGATTTATGTCCCACCCGACCTTCCCCGCCTTATCCTTTAGAAGTTATATATTTGAGAAAAATTGTGAAGTTTTCAAACAGACAATAGGATGACGTCATGTGAAGGGGAGGTAACTCTTGGAGTTAAGAGAGTAAGCATACCAATAGGGATAGCTCTGACTTAGGGTTTAAATTTTTCATTTTATTTCCTGTATGTGACTGTGGGAACCACAGAATTAGGGCAACCATAATCCAGAGGGAAGGTTTACGCTATAATTGGGTGATATCCAAGTAAGCTATCTAGCAATTGCACGAAGCAGGAACTCAAATATCGCTAACAAACAAATAATAATGAAAATTTACAAATGATAAAAATATTGCACAAGAAAACAAGCAGAAATAAATAACATGAGACATACAGAGTGAATATGTATTTTTGCTGTTTCAGCAATTTTCTAGGCATAATACATCTGTTACAGTGTTGACAATATGGGAATCGAACCCTGGTCGGTGGCCTGATGAGCCAAGCTTTTCCCACGAGGCCACCTCTGTGTGATAACATGAACATACAGTGACCCATTTGTTACTATAGCTTCAGTTGAAACGAAAAGACAAGCCATTCAATCAAATAACACTCAGATGAGGTGAAATATGATATGTTATTGCACCCATGTAGCGCCATGCATCTATATAAACAAATCAGGTAATCCTTAACTTATTTTGAGCGGTATACAACTGCAATCAGATCGAGGATTTGTTTGTTGTTTACCCCTACACTGAGCAACTGTCCAGCTGTGAGGTGGTCGTCTTGAATCGAGTCCCAACCAAACAACTCAGATCTAGGATAACACTATGTACCATTACAGTGTTGTTGTAAATATTGAGAGCAAAGTATCTGTTTCCAGTATTTTTGGCATCCATTCTAATGTTATCAATACTTTTGGGCCATTTGCTACAATAGTGCTACTGCCCCTTTGTAGCAACAGGTAGGAATGTCGCAGGTGAATACAGTTACCCCACCACTCAGACACAGGCTACTGAGGAGGGAGTGAGTGAGTTTAGTGTTACGTCACACTCAGCAATATCCCAGGTATATGGCGGCGGTCTATAAATAATCGAGTCTGGACCAGACAATCCAGTGATCAACAGCATGAGCATCGATCTGCGCAATTTGGGAAGCGATGACATGTGTCAACCAAGTCAGCGAGCATGACCACCTGATCCCGTTAGTCGCCTCTTACGATAAGCATGGGTTACTGAAGATCAATATTCTAACCCAGACCTTCACAGGTACACAGGCTACTGACTCTGGGCTGACCAGTCATGGCCATTTATTTTTTTCTTAACGCTGAGTGCCAGACAGGGTGACAACAAGTACCATTTTTTAAACCATTTGGTGGGACAGGGATCAGCTCATCAAAGCTCATCAGAGGTGTCCCTTAGTAAGACTTGTTTGTTTGTTTGCCGTTGTTGCTGTTTAACTGACTGACTGAGTTTGGTTTTAGCTCATTTTAGCAATATTCCAGCAACATCACGTTTGGGGACACCAGAAATGGTTTGCTGTTTAACGCCGCACTCAGCAATATTCCAGCTATATGGCGGCGGTCTGTAAATAATCAAGTCTGGACCAGACAATCCAGTGATCAACAGCATGAGTATCGATCTGCGCAATTGGGAACCGATGACATGTGTCAACCAAGTCAGCAAGCCTGACCACCCGATTCGTTAGTCGCCTCTTACGACAAGCATGGGTTACTGAAGACCAAATCTTACCTGTGATTTGATTGGCTGGTTACTGGATGAGGTGGACAATATGACATTTTGATGCATAAAGATTTTCATACTTGACTGCCTTGAGTATTTGGTAAAGCCAAGGAACACTATAATATAATCCTAATTATCTAATCAAAATGCTGTTGGGATCATTATCCTTTCCTCCTTCTAAGAAACTAGAAAGTCCATGGAATCATCCCAAAATTACATTGAGACATTTAGCAACAAAGATTCGAACCCATGATCACAGGTTCCTGGTGTGCCTAAGGGATGCAACTCTGTACAACAAACTGCAGCACTTAGACAGCTATGGCACTGTGTCTCCGGTGTCCCTGTTAACACTGATATCATGAGTATAGAATCATGATTTAAGAAACCAAAATCTTATCACCTGAATAAGATATTTCAAACAAGAACTTAAGTCTTAACATTAGAAATAAGATTAACAAAATTACAACTTCAAAAAAAATTATCCATACATGTTTGTACCGCTAGAACCAGGATGCTATATGTGTGGCTAAGACAATGGCACATATGGACTTCGTCAGCTGACTGTGATGTAACCATGGTAACATGCTGTCATGAGTGATCTGAAGGAGGGCTCTCCGACATGTTGCATGTGCCAATAGGAGGAGATTGTCGTGCTAGATTGATCGGTATTCGGAGCGTGCTCAGTGGGTCCGACACGTAACCTGGAATAACAAAAACAGTTGTCATGTGATAATGGACTGTTACGGAAATTATCATATGGAATACTTTGATGTGATGAGCGGAATACAGATTTAAAACAAGTTCTGCATATTCCATGGCATGTGATTGACAAAACAATTAATGTTTTGTTAGTTTATGTTTCCATAAACTGAAAACAATTTGGCCATGCCCACTAAGCGAACCTTTTTATTTGCTGTGATTATTGCACTTGGCAATGTCACAGATTTTGCATAATTGTCCGTGACAGTTGTGTGTGAAGTTATTATTGTTGACTACTCATTTATAAGAACTGAATTCAACATGTTTTTGTCCTTTATGTAGTCAAGTGGCCTCAAATATAATCAGATTCATACCAGACAAGCAGTGACAGACTGCAATTCCAGCAAACCACTAGATAAAAAGACACCACATATCAGCCAGGTCACAACTCAAATCACCGAATCACTTCTTCATTGTATCTTATGATAACCTCAGTGAATTTGTTGCATAGAGATAGTTTATTTGATACTTGCAAAGCGTTTCTGAAACTAAAACTGCAAACAGTCATATAGTGGTAGCGGGTTTCAACAGAATTACAGCATGATAACAGACGTATTCACTGTTACATAGAAATATTCAAATCTGATCTAAGAAAAGTAGTGGTCAACAGCATGAGCAACAAGGTCAGGTTGACCCGGGCAGCCCATACAACTAGCAGTCATCCCTGGGAACTCTCAGAGAGAATGTACGTCCAACCATCCACACTTGTAACACGCAACTAGATGGATAAGGTAGTAGTGAGTGAGTGAGTGAGTTTAGCTTTATGCTGCACTCAGCAATATTCCAGCTATATGGCGGCAGTCTGTAAATAATCGAGTCTGGACCAGACAATCCAGTGATCAACAGTATGCGACAAGGAGATCTTGTGTATATTCAGCTACGTCAGGTACATGTATCTAGAAGACTAAACTATTATCTCACCATTTTTGTCAAGTTGTGGAAATGGAAGCCGTTTTCTTTGTTCTTCCCCTGGAGGTACACTGAAACATTGAATAGGAGTAAAATTGACCACCAGAGACCATATAATTATTATTATTATCCTATTATATAGTCTCTGTGATCACTTAATACACATTCATAAGACAGAGGCTGTATCAAGAATATTTAATGTTTTCTGACTGGTATTTACGCAAGAAAACGCAACTAGGCAAGTAACCTTGTTTCGCGACGATTTATCAGAGTACCCCCGTAATTACGACAAGGAAACTGAATCGGAAAACTCACAAGTTTAACGTTCAGTACCAAAACAACACCACATGACTTCCACTACTTACCACAGTTAGGTCACAATGGTGTGCTAAGGTACTTAGCAGCTAGAACGCTACGAAATCCATAAGGAAATCGGGAAGGACTCACTACACTGACATGATGTTTCCATGGAGTAGAGGTCAGCAAGCGAGATTGTCGAACACTTCTACATCCGTAGGGAGCAACGACAAGGTAGGCCCATAACTACCAAGGTCACTACGTGCGATGGTTAGTTTGAACCCATTGACTTACTGAGCACAATTGCTCCCAGGGACCGGGACCCCCGAGAAATGTGGTGTTCAGTCACTACCTTCACGAAAGTGAAAGGACGCAGCTTAGCGAGTGTAATCAGTCGCATTCCCACGATTTCCAAGGTACCCCCGTAATAAAAGTCTAATGACTAGTATCGGGCCAGCCACTGCTTCGAAACAACCCCCACAGACACCTTGCCAAGGAGGGTGAAAGGGTAATTGAATCGGAAAACTCACAATTTAATGTTCAGTACCACATCATCTTATGACTTCCACTACTTACCACAGTAAGATCACATAGATGTGTATAGGTACTTAGGAGCAGGAACACTACGAAGTGTAACACTTCGGTAATGACTCACTTCACTGATGTAATTACTCCATAGAGCAGATGACAGTAAGTGAGGTGGCGACTCTCCAGAGTCTCAAATTAAATTGAGAGGTGAAATTGAAGTCCCAGAAGAATCGAAGACACAAATCAGAAATAAAATTCAGAATTTTATTCAGATTGTACACAAAGCAGCAACGATCGCAACTGGTGATCATCTGTGCTGAAGCTGAATGTTGTACCAAGTGGGTGAACAGGTCTACATCTGGTCGTGATAACAGGTAGATCTTCGATTGGAATATCAGAGGCAGTTGTTTCCACTCCATGAGTGACGGGTGTTTGGGACGTGACAGGGCATCGGCAATGACATTCCTCACCCTGGGAATGATCAGATGATAAATTCGAAACATCAACTGAAGCAGAGCTGCTGATCCTGTCGTCCCCTGATGGTTTATGTATCAAACTACCATCGAAATGTCTGATTGAAATCAGTATATGAGAGGACCGTAGTTCAACTGCCCAATGCCGAATGGCGAGAATGACAGTGCTGAATTCCAATTCATTGATAGAAAGGGCCCTTTCTCCTGATGACCACTGCTAGGCCACTTGATGGAGAGAGTGAGCGCCCCAGCTTGAGAGATGCGTCAACGAACAGGTGTTGAGTCAGTATGAAGGGCACCATAGAGACTCTAACGCAAACATTCCACTTGTTGAGCCACCAACAAAAGACTAAATGTAGTTGTGCGGGAAGACGAATCAACTCCCTGGGGTTGTTGTCCCGGATGTATGGGCACAGAAACATCTGAAGAGGGGCTTGACCAGCTGCAGCTGGCCCCCTGTAGTCAGGGCTTGTTAGCAGCAGACGTCAACCACCCTAGTAACTTCTGCCACTGGCAAAAGTTGTGGGTTGGACCAGCACTAGTGGTAATGCGTTGTCACTGAATCTTGTCCCACCTCTCCTGGGGCACAAACATCCATGACCTCTCCGTGAATATTGTCCCAATAAAAATTGTGACGATAATCACTGGGTCGGTGTTACCTCCGATTTCTCCTAATTCAGCAGCCATCCTAATTGGCGCCCCAGCCAAAGCAACTTGATGATGAACTGCCTGTGGAGATGGAAGGACTACTGGATCCTGCTGGGCTTGAACACAGTCATCGATATAGTTCTCGAATGTCACGCTTCGACAATGCAGGTAGCTTGTTATCGGATTGGGCACCTGAGTGAAAAGCCACGAGGCCAGTACATATGCCAAACAGCAGGACCCCTATCGGGTGGTCGAGTGATAGATTCTTTGAACCCGGAATCCATTCATCAAAGGTGAAGATCGGATGGTAGATTAAATCTGGAATGAGATGAGTCCTGGCCACGGAGGACTCTTGAGAACTGTGACCATCAGACCGTCAAGTGCCGAGCGTAATATGTCTATATGACTGCGCTACTGACATCAAATGTGAATTGATTCAGCATGGTGAAGCACATAGCTACTACCTCTGTTCAACCAGCAGAAAAAGGGTACCAGATGGGATAAGTTATGTGACTAAAACCTTTAAATGCCTCACAAGCCGTAAGGTAAACCGGATAAACAAATCAGTTTGTCATGCTTAGAGCTTGCCACTCCGTGGTGAGGAATTCAGCGCCTCACAGATGCCCTGAAAACTAAGGTCGTGTTGAAAACTAGCAGAGTTCGACAAATTTGGCCGTATCTAGATGCAAGTTCACGATCCTCATTGAGGGGTTAAAAAACCAGTGTTGACAAGTCCCATCCTTCATGTTGAAAGTAATAAATAGAACATCTGGTATTTTCCTCTAGGTAGCTGTAGGCGGTTGGCAAACCAAGCGACCATGTGTGTCGAATCAACCAAAACAATTCCTGCATCTTAAAGGCAACTGGCATAGCCCGAACCATGAAAACAAAGACAAAGTTCGATGTGGGTTAAGTGTCTTAGGAGGCACCCCAGACACAATTTGCATAGGCTCTGACGAACCAATAGGCCGGTAAGATGCGTCGTGTTGGAAATAACACGAGTGGTGAATCGCCGAATTTCGGTGAATCAGCTCAATTGGTAGGCAAGGCAAGATCCGAGGAACAGATTATTGACGAATGCTGACAGTTCAATGAATGCTGACGATTCAGTGATCTTGAATGGCCAGGTGAACTGGTTCGACGATATGAAGCGGTTCGGCCTGGTGGAACGGGACGAGTCGGTTCAGCTTAGTATTCTGATTCAGAAGGGTGAGCCGGAACGTTGATGTGATCTGGATCGTGACTATGATCTGGATAGGTTTGGTAATCCGAAACGTTTAAATGATCTCAGCTGATGGAGAGTTCTAGAACAATCAGATGAACCGGTGAGCCAGAAATGTTCCCGCCGAGGTGAATTGTTTTGGTGAAGAAAGCCGTTATGGCGAGGCGAACCGTTTCAGTGCGATGCATCGAATCGATGATGTGAACCGTTTCGGCGATAAGAAACAGTCTTGGACAGACATATATGGCAAATTGAGTCGATGTCGTGATCCAATACGCCTTGGCGAAATGGTTCGGCCTGGTGAATCCATTCAGTGTGGTGAATCGGTTCGGCGATTTGACGATGTAGATCCGCTGTGTGAGTCAGCTGGCAACACAGAGCGGTTCGATTAGGCAGAACGACGGGGTAGACATCTGATGATGCGCCAATAAAATCATCACCTACCGACATGGGAATCTCCAAATGACGAGGAGTTAATACTGGTTGTTGAAAGCGGGGGTTTTGTCGGGTGATCAACTGTTGAAGTGTAACGAGCTGTCTGCCAGCCAACAGGAGCAAGCATGTCCATATGCTCTAAAAACGTCCTTGATAAGGGAGCACATTCCCGACAACGTTTGCTTCAGGAACACAGGTCAATACAACCACACATGACGTGTGGGGATCCGAGGAAGAAAATATTGTTACAGTGTGCGCAAAATTACACTACTTAGGGTTAACTGCCCATGATATATTTCTCCTGTTAACTTTAAGGTGAGGTGAGGTGAAATTGGGTTTTACGTCGTGCTTGAGAATATTTCGCTCATATGACGAATGTTAACTTTAAGGAAAACTGAGAACTCTCACAATACGTCCACACGCCGAAGACCCAGGTTCGATTCCCCACATGGGTATAATGTGTGAAGCCCATTTCTGGTGTCCCCCACCGTGATATTGCTGGAATATTGCTAAAAGCGGTGTAAAAATAAATTCACTTACTCACTCAATCACTCAATGAATGGAATCTGGTGATTTATAAATGACTTATTATTTAATATATGTAAACTTTTGTTATGACATATTCACATGTCCCATTACCTCCTGGTTGTTCTGTGACCTAGTGCCACAATATTACAGTTATATAAGGATATAAACAATCAAGTCTACAAACACAATCCAGTGTAATGAGCAATGATACATGGATGACAATGTTTACGAGATGATCTATCTACCTGTTGCGTGAAGCCTCCTGCTCCCAGTGGCTCCTCATGGCCGACACATGTCCCGTCAGTGGCGGAGTCGACCGACCTTCCGGGTCTGAGTCGGTGTCCGTTACCATTGGTAACGAAGAAGGGAAGGACACTGTGGCCCCCGAATCTGCATTACTGAGCATGGCAACAGCCTGTGACTGTTTACACTCCTCCAGAACTGGTAGAAATTCACGGAACTCCGGCCTCTCCTGCAAGAGAACAAACATCCCAGAATATATGTTCCATTAACTGAAATGAAAGACATTTGCCTTGATGAAGAACAAACCCTGAATAAACTCATAGTAACATAACATGGAATAGATTAGATGGATTGTGTTATTAATAGAGTGATTAGTATTACATTACTTTTCACAGAATTTCTGTGGAAGTTGGGAGGAAAGTGAGTGAGTTTATTTTTACGCCGCACTCAGCAATATTCCAGCTATATGGCGGCGGTCTGTAAACAATCAAGTATGGACCAGACAATCCAGTGATTAACAGCATGAGCAATGGGAAACAATGACATGTGTCAACCAAGTCAGTGTGCCTGACCACCCGATACTGTCGGTCGCCTCTTACGATATGCATGGGTTGTTGAAGATTAGTTCTAACCCAGATCTTTACGGGTATGGGAGGAAAGACCCAAGTGATGCCGGTTGTAGACACTTGTCACTTTGGTGAAACATCTGTACAAGTATGGTGCTGACTAATCTAGAAACATGATTCATAACTCTTGTTTACAGATGTGAGGCATGCCCGAGGGATGCCCTTCAGATTGTGGGGACTAAAACAACTGGGCTACCTGGGCATAGGAAAGCATATGACATACAGGATATAACCATTGTTGCATGTTATTTAATGCCGCTCTCAGCATCTTCTTTGAGTGGCATTTTAGAAGCTGGTAAATACAATATAGACAAACTTTCTGGATAACAACTTCTTTATTTTGTGAGTGCAACGTTTGGATACAGATTCAGCAACATTCCAGCTGCGGACCTGCAAATAATGTGGACCAGTCAAACTAGTGATTGGTATCAGCAGCCACCCACCAGGGTAAGATGACACACCTGAACCTGACCAGCCAACAAAGTCATCTCTTACAACCAGCACATTACTGGATCGAACCAAGACTTGGTTATTTGCTGGCTGCTGGAATTGTAATCGAGCTGTGTGACAGAACAATCAAACAATGAAAGAAGTGAATAGTTTTAAACCGCTACATACATCAGCATTGGCATGCCAACCTCTCTGTAAGATGGCCAGGATGGGCTTGGGGGAAGGTGATGGCGATAGGTGGACGGGTGTTGTGGTACGCCATCTCCGCCGCTGCTGCAGCTGGAATGAGAAGTGAGTGAGTGAGTTTAGTTTTACCCCTCTTTTAGCAATATTCCAGCAATATCATGGTGGGGGACACCAGAAATGGGCTTCACACATTATACCCATGTGGGGAATCAAACCCGGGTCTTCGGTGTGGCAAGTGAACGCTTTAACCACTAGGCTACCCCACCACTCCACCCCAATATCAAGATGTAGTAATGGTTGCTAACATGCATATCACCCCTCTGACTGGATATGTGCTACATACTTGAACATTGTTGAACAAACAACACCAAGCATTTCAAACAAGCACAATACATTATGACAGTGAATGTCCATCTGGAGGCTAAACAAATATATACAACTGTCATGCCATACATCAACCTAGGATGTGAAATATATACATACTATATTCAGTCAACTAAAGGCATAACATGGAACCTTGTTATACTTCCTAGTAGTAGAGTAAGTAGTGTAAGATCTACCTTACACAGTACTGACACGGTAATGAGCAGACAGGTGAGGTCCCATTTCTTCCCAGCTACAACTGGACGATACTAACCATATTCGTCATTGGTCCTTGGCATTGAGAAACAAACAAACAAATAGCAGACAATGCAAAGTTTATTTGTGAAAAAGGTGAAGTGAAAGGGTAGTGAGTACCTGTTTTGAGATGGGCGAAGGGCCTGTGTGGAATGTACTTGGTTTGAGATGGACCAAGGGCCTGTGTGGAATGTACCTGGTTTGAGATGGGCGAAGGGCCTGTGTGGAATGTACCTGGTTTGAGATGGGCGAAGGGTCTGTGTGGAATGTACCTTGTTTGAGATTGGCTGAAGGGCCTGTGTGGAATGTACCTGGTTTGAGATGGGCCAAGGGCCTGTGTGGAATGTACCTGGTTTGAGATGGACCAAGGGCCTGTGTGGAATGTACCTGGTTTGAGATGGGCGAAGGGCCTGTGTGGAATGTACCTGGTTTGAGATGGGCGAAGGGCCTGTGTGGAATGTACCTGGTTTGAGATGGGCAAAGGGCCTGTGTGGAATGTAACTGGTTTGAGATGGGCGAAGGGCCAGTGTGTAATGTACCTGGTTTGAGATGGGCGAAGGGCAGTTCCACAGCCAGGAGCTCCCACAGACACAGGGAGAAACTGAACACATCAGCTTTAATGCTGTACTTTGTACACTGGGTGAAGATTTCCGGTGCCATCCAACGCAGATTCTGTCGTGATAAAGCGTCAAGCATCTTTCAAGCAGTAGGATTGGTAGGATTAATCTATTGGTATTTCTAAACACTTTCCTTGGTCTTCTCTCATTGAATCGGAATAAAAAGATTCTTTGTGTGAATGTTAAAATGTTATATTAGAAATAAATTCAACAATGTCTTTTGTTTTTTAATTAGTCCATCAACAAGTCTGAAGTATGTCAGTTGCACCCGGACTGAATTTCTTTTCCTCCTGTATTATCCTGACTGACAACTTTGAGATATGTTCTGAATTATATCTTATCAATGACCACTAGCCTTACAGGAGTAAAACAAGCAATCTGTAATCTAATGACTTAATCCCTTTGGCTCAAACAAAGCTCCTGAGAAGAAATGATCAAGACTGTTCCTACCCCTGGCTGTTTTGTCATGTTGTCCTCTTCTGTAGATCGGAGGAACCTTGACTCTGAAAACAAATGCAGGCACATCTTGTTTCCATCCAAACCATGTAAGCACACCTTATTCCTTGTGAAACAATGGTCAAACACCTTATCTCCAATAAAACTAAGTAAGCACACCTTACCACACCAAAGTCAGCAGACTTCCACTAAAACAATGTAAGCACACCTTACTTCCAGTAAAATATATCTTAGTTTATCTGGTTGCCAGTTTACACAAATTTAACATCCAAAAGTAACAGCCATGGTTACACCAGTGTATAAAATAGTTTTGAAATATGGCCTGTCCAAGGACTGGCTGTTCAACATGTGACCAGTCCTGAACAAACACAGCCAGTCCAAAAACTAAAACAAAGAAAAAATGATAGATAAGACGAAGTTCAAACCAAGTTAAGTTAATTTTTTCAAACATTCCCCCCGACCAAAGGACTGCCTTATTTAATAGACTGTCCTTCACTAAAATAGACCATCAAGGATGGTGGGACTGCATATGTTTTATACACTGGTTACACTCCCAATTTGCAGTGCCTTACTAATTGCATACATTTTTATTCTAATTTGCAGTTACATATTGCCAGCGTGTACAGAAATGTTCAGGTTTGGTATGTTTCATCAAAACTATGATTTCAGTCAACAGGTGCCCATGTCCCTGTGCCTTCCGCTGGACTCTCAGTAGGGCAACTTGAAGCAAGGACAGTATCAACTGTGACGTGGCAAGCAGCAATATGACCCTTCATAACATTAAGATAACTGATGCCAGATCGGATATTATCACAGAAACATAGTAAATTGAAATTAGGTCACTGGACTTGTGTTTGTTTGTTTAATGTCCAACACCCCACTCAGCAATATTCCAGCTATAGGCTAGTGGTTAAAGCGTTCGATCGTCACGCCGAAAACCTGGGTTCGAATCCCCACATGGGTACAATGTGTGAAGCCAATTCTGGTGTCCCCCGCCGTGATGTTGCTGGAATATTGCTAAAAGCGGCGTAAAACCAAACTCAGTCAGTCAGTCAGTCCAGCTATAGGGTGACTGTCCGTAAATAATCCAGTGATCAACAGCAGGAACATTTGGATACAATGACGTGTCAACCAAGTCAGCGAGCCTGACCATCCGATCCCGTTAGTCGCCTCTTCTGACAAGCATGGGCTGCTGAAGACCCATTCTAATCCGCATCTTCACGGGTACACAGGACTTGTAATGGTAATGTGTAACTAGTTGAGTGTTTATGACTTTACAAGCTGACCGTTTGGTCATACATGGTAGTGACACATGTGAGTAAACATGATAAAATCATTGTGTTTTAGGATACCAACCTCCGAAGTCCGCGACCAAGGCATGTCCATTCTCATCCAATAGGATGTTGTGACTGTAAACTTATACAAACCTGTAGAGGTTATGAATTCTTTGAAGAAAGTCCTCCTTGGGGTACATATAAGCATTAAAATGTCCATTTTAAATCCTACGACAGTTGTAACTATATTTTTAATAAAATATTTACAAAACAAAAAACTCGTTTTGTCTTGTGAGACCACCCCTACAGGGCCCCACCGGACCAACACAGCCAAGAGCAGGTAACTCTCGCCGTCTACCTCGTACCTCACTTTTCATGCTGAACGTGTCAGACAGAATGAGGGGAGGCGGGTGGCCTTACCCCAAGGAGGACTTTCTTCAAAGAATTCATAACCTCTACAGGTTTGTATAATTCTTTTTCAGAAGAAGTCCTCCTTGGGGTACATATAAGCATATGACAGACTCCCAAAGATATTTGAGACGGGAGTGGCATTCTGTCTGGCAACAACTAAACCCGTGGTGGAGTGAAATCTACAACCGATACGGAAATAGAAAACACCGAGCCACCTGACCGCTGATGTCAATCAGACGGGGGCGGGAACTAGAGAGCCCAAGCTTATATGTCAATTGGCTCAATATCAATGACATAAAACCCCGCCCCCAACCATTACAATGGAAGGAATGTATGGGGACATGTCGAAACAACTCCCAACCCTAATATAGCCCCAGCCAGACAATCGTGGCGAGAGGTATAAGGGTAGGGAAAGCGTAAAAAATTTAAACGCTACAAAGCCAATAACCCAGGAGTCGAGCTAATAAGTACTGCAAACTAATGCTCGAATGCAGCCCCTGTTTGGAAGAGGGCTAGCCGGGACCTCGATAAAACCCAGAGAAATTATTAGCCTCGCTAAAACTTTCTGAGGAAATCGAACGAGTACAAACGCCATGCATTGTACGAGTGAAAAACACCCCCACCAAACACTCTCGGCGTGAGGAGGGTAAGTGTAGGCCACCATCCCACAAAGCTGATTAACACAGACTCCCAAATACCGAAGGCTCGGGAAGAGGGAAAAACTGTAAGCGTACAAAAATCCCCTGAATAGCGAAAAGCGTAGCCGAACATATGTTGGCTCACCATTACACTAACCTGGTCACGTGACATGCGGCTCGAAGAGAGGCATACCAAACAGTGCCCCGTGGGGGTTCGCACCCAATTCCGTCGCAAGACGGGTTAATAGCATATGACTGGTTAAAGCGTTCAAAACGGACCCCGCCCTCTTGAAGGGGACGTAAGGGACGTATGTACACCCAAACCCGACCCAACCCGAAAGGATGGTAAGGTTAATACGATGTAGTGATATGAAATATATCGACATTGAACACAGAACTGATACCAATGACCAGTTACTAACTTGGTCAGGGTGGCAGGTCACTCTCCACTGGAGAGAACCGAAAGACCGAACCGAGCACGATCCTTAGAATGCGTGTCAAGTTGGTAATGGCGAATGAAGGCGTTCTGCTGGCTCCAAAGAGCGACAGAACCGATCTCCTTCATTGAGCAGTGCCGCTGTGTATTGTCAACAAAGCGGCATCTGCCCTACCCAGTCTGCCTTCAACCCCTCGGGGGGAGGTAAACCGTATCATTGTAACCATACAATTACGGAAACAAGCCAACGAGATAAAGTGCGCTTGCTAGCAGACTCCCCAGTCTTCCCGCCACCAAACAGCACACATGGGTACCCGTACGGATCCCTTTTGTTCGTTCGTTCGTGACAGGCACGGGTGAGCAATCGAAAGATTGGTCCCCAGTGCGGAAGGCTGGGTAAGGGGTGGAAGTGCGATATGAGCAGTCACGTGGAAAGCAATATCGCACTGAGAGTGGTAGGTATCCGGGAGTCGAATACGGACATGATCAGTATAAAATACTGTCAGTGTCGGGTCAGTGGGAATCGCATGGATGTACCCGACCCTTCTACCAGAGTTCACCACAACAAGTAAAGTCGTCTTCCACGTCAACAAGTGAAGTGAGAGAGACGATATACTTGAAAAATTAGGGCCAGACAGCCAATTGTGAATAAGTGGCAATTTTAAGGTGGGCTGGGTCGCCGACGAGGCGGTCGAACCCTGTTCATGCCAGCTACGACGCGATGTACGAGAGGATGCTGCCTAGGCAGAGCACCATCGAACGAGGTGTGAAACGTGGAAATAGCCATGGAGTACCCGGCAATGGTGGAGGTCATAAGGCTCTCAACCAAAACGAGGTTATAGTAACTCCAATATCCGAACTAAGTCCGCAGAATAGGGATTATGAAATCCCCCTATCTGCACACCAGCGCGCCCCACCTATCAACACACTGAACGGGTGTCGAATCCCAGGCAGAATTGTGTCTGCAACGGTTGCAGGAATTCCGTGTGTTATACCCGACAGAGGCCAAGCCACCCAGTGAATCCGAGGATTCGGGTGTGGCGCCCCGTGCAGAGTGAGAATGTCTGGCCGAAGAGGTAATTCGAATCCCGGCGTGCGGGATCGAACACCAACCTGACTGCTGTCAAATCCAGCACATTGATGTGCAGGTTGTGACTTCGTCTCAAGAGGCTGCAGGTCACCCAGAACATCGCCCTAACCCGGTAGGGATGTATCTGGCTGGACTGAGAGCGACGGTGTCTCCAGGGGTGGGGACCCTCGGAGAGACGCCTGACGTCTGTCCATCTGACTGCGTGAGGTTGACAATTCCGCCCAGTTTCGTAACTGATCGTGAGGTCCCGAGACTCAACAGTTATCTGAAACCACGATGAGTCAGTCGCCTATGTACGGGTGACAACACCGGCACTGCGATCTGGCTATCTGAGCTGTAATAAACCTCAATTTGGTGAACACCCTTGGCACCGTAATGTAGCCTAAGGAGAGCACACGAAACTGGTAGCACGTCCCGTCAAACAAGAAACCGAAGGTAAATCTTGAAATCAGGGTGCAATGGAACAAGGAGGTACGCGACCTCGAGGTCGATTGACGTGCGCCAATCCCCTGTCTCGGCAGATGAGATCACCGAGCGCGGTGTCTCCATCTTGAAGGACAGTACCTCTATAAACTTGTTCAGCTCTCAGATGAGAATGGGTCTGAACATTCCGTTCGTAATGGCAACTATGAAATAAGTGGAGTCAAACCCCACATATTCCTGACCATTGGAAACCACCACACTGGTTGCCTACCCCAGCAAAGACTGGATCTCGGCACGGAGTATTGTCGCCGTCTCCCGGGAAGCCGACACAGGAGTGTGTCGCTCCGCCGGTGTTTGCGGCAGAATATAGTAACCCCAGCAGTCGGCAACTTAACGTTTGCCGATGCCTGGGCACCTGAGGAAGTAACGAGAAGCTCAACAGACTTCCGTATTCCTCGAAACTGTCCCGGGCGTATATGCCCATAACCGCCCTCATCATTTGACTGGCACAGCTACAAAGCAGTCCCTAGCCAGATGAGAGTTGCCCCCGTCAGATACCGCCCAGAGTCGCCGACGAAAAAATTCCACCGGCGCTCTCTCCCCTTTCCACCAGCTCCCTCAGCAGCGCTGAGAGATGCGCCGAGTGGAGCATACAGCGTTGAGCTGTGAAGGGGAAACAACGGCAGACTGACGGTAGAGTGTGAGGCCTTGTCCCGGATGCCGTGCTGGAAGCAGGCTTCCCTCCGGGAGGCGAACTCCAACGGTTCGGGTAGTCGACATGGACAACACCTGCGGCAACACAGCCGCGATTCTATCTCGCACTTGCCCTCAGGGACGAACCTACTTAGTGGTAAGTTCAAAGTAGCGAAATGAGCCGAAGCTCAAATCGACTTGTCCACTGTACGAGCCTGAACCCCGATTCCGAGGCACATGTGAGAAACCTGACAATCAAGGTTTCACAAGCACTCAGACAGACCTCGGAGCGGCGAGGTGACAGTCACACCCGGCACACTCAATGGCATCTAGGTCAATACGTCGATAGACATCAGGCCGAGACCTGAACTACCGGCGCCGAGACCTGAACTACCGTTGTCGGGAATCTGCGCCCTACCAGTGCCGAAGCCTGGGTCGGCGCTACCCACGGGGTTCAGAGAATCCGCAGAGCCGAAGCTCAGCTGTTCTAGACCGAACCCCGATCCCGAGACACGTAGGAGTAGCCTGATAAATCAGGTTTCCCCAAGTACTCTCCAAAAGCGCACTGAGCGTATAGTCAAACATAGCCTATAGCGCTATATAAATACCCATACATACACATGTATGTACGTCAGTGCTCGGGTCGGCGGTTCGAGTTCGAACCCCGATCCCCAACACATGGGAGTGGCCTGACAATGCAGGGCTCCCCTGGTGTAAGTGCACGGGTAGACCTCGGCGCGTCGAGGTGATCGGCAGCTCGTCACACTCAACGGCCGCTTGGCCAGGGCATCGATAGACATCAGGCCGAGACCTGAGCTAACAGCGCCGGGGATCTGCTCCGTACCGGGGCCGAAGCCCAGGTCGATGCTAGTCCGATCTGCAGTCCCGAGACACAAGGGAGTAGCCTGGCAATGCAGGTTGCCCCTGGTGGACACAGGTAGACTTTGGAGCGCCGAGGTGATCGGCAGCTCAGTGGAACCCAGACCGGGGCGCCGAGAGGAACCTGCCGCTATACAGGTTTCCCGGGCAACCCCGACTGACCACGTGGCGCCGAGGTGTCCCCGAGCTGGTCGGCGCCTAGGCGACCGCCAGTCAGGGCACCAGGGCAAAACCTGCAGGGCGAAACCTGCATCGCCGGCGCCAGGCGCTCGTGACGAACCTGAGCCCGAAGCTAGGTCGCCACAAGGTGCCGAAGGCGCCGAGGTGTCCCCGAGCTGGTCTGCGCCTAGGCGACCGCCAGTCAGGGCACCAGGCGAAGACAGGGCAAAACCTGCATCGCCGGCGCCAGGCGCCCGTGACGAACCTGAGCCCGAAGCTAGGTCGCCACAAGGTGCCGAAGGCACACCATCACCTGAGCCGAAGCCAGGATCAAGCTGCCTGGGAGGAGGCGCGTTCTCCGAGCCAGAGCTCGGGCCGCAGCCAACCCCCCCAGATGCGTCCGATC